GAGACTTGTCTCTGACACAAGAATCCAATTTCAGCAGAGAGATTGCTGCCCCCGGATTAATCTCCTGTAATTTCAGGATCACTTGAACTCCGTAGAGTCTTGTTTAAAGTCCCTCGAGGCAAACCTGCTCGAGTAAGAGGAAGGAAGGAATGCTTATTTCTTCCTCAACATGGAACCCTAAAATAATAAGGCAAGCATTTAAATGTAGGAAAAACAAAAAAGCCATTTCTAAACAGCACTTACTAGTGCGGTTGCCCCATCAGGGTGTGAAACGTTCATTTAATGAGCTAGAAATGTGAGAAAACTGAAGCGATGAAAAGCTGAAGACAGAAACATCTGTTTAGATATTAAGCAGCTTGTATTGTTCCTGCTACCTGTGGGAAGCACAGCAAGAAGTTGGATGATGATTAAATTGCACACAGTAAGCTGCAACTTGGATCTGTGAGCTCCAGGGATCCTGTGTGAGGGTGTAAACAGCAGCACTGTTACAGCTGAAGTATAACAGTGCCGTTTGCAGCTGATTTCAGACCGCAGTTCGGCTGCTCCTCCATCTTTGCTCACCCTTTAGAGAGGCAACAGAAGCAAACCGGCCGCGTCGATCTGTTGGGAAAGCCGATCGTGCACCCGTCCAAGTGTCTGCTCCTAGCAGCCAGCCAGGCTGGAAGTTTGTGTGTCTTTGGACTGTTGTGTTCAAACTTGTTTGGAGAACCACAGCTGGCCCTGCTTTGAGAACCGCAGATCGTCAACCTTGATTAAGGTGACCCATTCCACCCCCCACCCCCCCTCCCAAGGGTCGGCATTTTAAGTTTTGCTCTCTTCTTTCTTGACCGAGCAAAATGAATTTCTCATTTTTCTTCTGCTCTCGAACCGGTGCCGAGCAACACTGAGCAGCCCTTCAACACAGAAATATGACAGCATCTTGATAGCGGGACAAACCGAAGTCACGACACCACCTGAACATTCCCCGTGTCTTTAGGAAGCGGGATGCTACAGGATTTAATGGCAACTACATCCAATATTTATCCAGCAACCCTGCCCTTATAAAACAAAAATAGATCTGCAGGAAAAATACAACTTATTTTGCATCACATGGGATTTTTCCTTCAAAAACATATTAGACTCATTAGTCTTTCCAATGGATCTTATGAGCCACCATGCACACTTAAGCATCAATTAATTCAGATCTATTGAGATACCTACATCAATACTTTTGCCGAAGGGCATTTAGAGAAAAGCTTTATTTTTTCTGCTTAAAATAGAACTGCTTTTGCCAACGAGGTAAATTATCCATAACAATGATTCATTCACAGCCTGCCTCAACATGCTTAGGATGTATTTTTTTTTTTTAATTCTAACTCATTTATATGAACTGTTTTAGATCACCAATCTTTCAAGAAAATGAAACCTACTGGACTGGAGAGAAGTTAAAAATGGTGTAAGACGTACTGTAGCTGAGGAAGCTGACGATTTGACACAAATTTAGCACCCAGCCTCAAGCAACTGTTCTAAAATTGTATTTACCCACAGTACATAACCAGGGAAGGTGAGACCAAGATCTATTTTTAACCTGGTAGAGTTTAAGAAAAAAATAAAGCAGTTGGATTAAAATCTAATGGCATTATCTAAAAATCAATGCTCTATGCTCTATAATATTGGGTCAGCTACTATGCAAGTTTTGAAGTGTTCACGATGTGCAAGTGTAGAGTTTCTAGCTACTCTTGATTGGTTAAAGTTACTCCTAATACAATTTCACTTATTCATTCATGTGTAAGCGGAGACAATCCCAGAAGATTAAGATGTTAAGTATTAACTTCGGTCCTCGCCTTGTATAGGTGTGGAGTATGATGGTTCTTGCTGTGTAAATATTCTAGGTTAGACTGTTCTAATAGCTTGACTATTAGAACAGTTTAACTAGCTCTAATAGCAGTTTCAGGCTAAACTAGCTCAAACACACAGAAATACAAGTTTGTTCTAAAGAAATGTATGTTTTGGAAATTTCCTGACTATAATTTACAACCAAAGAACACATACTTCAATACTGCATGGACTATAACAATGCAATCAATACACTCGAACCGTACATACAGTAGTCAATCATTACCAAAGACAACAGGATTAGATTCACATCCTTGGTAACAAATGTGTATTTGTATTTGTTTAAAAAGTTTAACAATATTTCATCTTCTGCTACCTTACAGAGAATGGAAGGTTACTCTGGGAAAAGCCAGAATGCTTAGTCATTTACAGTCATGCAAATGTCTGCAATAAAGTTTGAAGAAATAGATCCACCCCAAACTAACACTTAACATAAAAACACAGACCTTGAACTCTGAGCTTGTATTACCCACAGTAAGTGGCTATAAAAATGAAATCTGAGCTGTATAATCTCAGAATCATTAGCACATTGTTTGGTTTTAGAAACATTTGCTTGTCATAGTACTCTGCTTAATTCTCATCCATAAACAAAAAAACTCTAAAAACTAGACTGCATAACTTGAGTTGATTAAACGACTAATACACCACAACTGTGCAGTTACAAAATAATACATTTAAATGGGTACTTCAGTAAGCAGAAAATGAATGAAGATGTGTTCAGCTGTAAAACCCATACAGTAAAACAATCATTTAAATGACAGTCAAATGGTGTTCATTTATCCGAGACCGATCTTTTTCCAGGAAAAGAGCACCAAACCGTGGCCAAGAACAAGTTTTAAAATTTTTGGCACACAGAAAATGTGCTGTAAAGAGCCCTTCCCCTGCGAGATTTTCGCAGAGACAATGCAGAGACCACGTCAGTCAGACCTCGACTTCATACACCGATCAGGCCTCTGCAGTTCATCTCAGAAGTTTTCTTGGAAAATTCTACAGCGGAGCTTTTCATGAAAATGGGCTGCGGGTGTAACTTACCGCGCTGTGTGCCTGGTACACAGAGGACGTCTGTTGGTCTGAACTGTCCGCCCCATATAGAGCTACCGTACAGTATAAGCACTGCTCACTTTCCTGCCAGCACGTCTGCTCCCTGTATGCAGCCCATTACTGCTTTGCACAGCACTAAGCAGACTAAACCACGCGTGCACCAAGAAAAAAAAAATCAAAACAGCAGCCTGGACACAAATTCCTCTCCAGAGAGGCTGCTCTCTTCACCCAGCCAGACTCAGCCGTGCGGCGGTAATAAGCTTTGCAACTTTTCTTTTTTTTGCAGGCAGGCAGGCAGGCAGGAATTCGTCTTCTCCCTACGAACGCCCTGCCAAGAGCTCATCCCGCATTTCTCCTGCGCACCTCCGAGCTGCCAGCTCCCCTGTCAGAAGTGCACGGATATTTGCCCCGAGTTCAAGGTCCGGATCGGGAGTTTATTTCCACGCAGCGCTCAAGTGCCAAGTTTACTTGGGAGAACAACCGGTTACCTTATCCATGTGAGGCTCACTAGGAGGGGGAGTGTCTAGAGTTGTCAGACTAAATCAGCATTCACAGTTGCTTAGCAGCCGAAGTTCCTTTCCTAAGCCAATGTGTTTAGCGAGACTCTGGCAGGCACTGAAAATGAGTGAAAGCAAAAAAAAAAGGAGGCAGACCAGCAGGATCAACATAATCTCACATTTCTGCCGTACCAAAACACAGGTTATGCATTTTTCCTCCCCAATACCGTATATTTCACATGAAGATTAAAAATCCAATCCTACCACATGATGGTTCAGCTAGCCCCCCTCTCAGAAATCCCAATGCACAACTGCTTTCATATGATAAATTCAGCGAGGCTGCCCTCCTCTGTAGACTTCTGTATCCCCAAAAACAACAACAACAACAAAAAAAAAAGATAAAACCGTCAAAGTAAAGTTTTCCACATCTTTGCAGATAAACAATGGCATTACATTAAACAGCCCAGATAATGACAGCACCAGAAAATACAAACAAGCTGTGTTTCTAAAGATTAAACTAGTCTGGTGCGCAAATTACATTACTTTTGAACGGCCGCCTCTCGTCTGTAACTGTTCTTATCCAAACAAGGTATGTGGAAAAAAAACCTCATACTGGCAATCAAAGGAGAAAGGCCAATTTATTAAACCTTCCAGTTTTTACATGATGCAGGAATACACCGCTCTCAGACTCTAACTGAACAGAGATCTTCAAAACCTAACTCAAAATTCTTTAAGCTAGTTAGAAATGTATCTGTAAAATAATAAAGCATTTTATAACTTCATCGTGCCAGCTTGGATCAGATACTTTAGCAATTCACATTCAAACCCCACTATCCATTTCTTCTGTGATTTTAGAGTATGCCAATGTTTTGTCTAAAGCACTTCTGCACGACATTCAACATTATAACCAATGAGAGTTTTGTAGCCCATTTGCAACACATCTATCACTATGGCAGATGAACAGTGCCATATGAAATGAACCTTTCGCTAGCCTCAAAGGGACTTCCGATGAGAACTGCAAACACAGAACAGCCCTGACACAGATTGAAAAAGTTCAGTTTTTACCTTCATTATTTAAAAAAAAAAACCTAGAACATGTAACACGGGGTCATTGTTAAAAGTGTGCTGCATTCCACTGGGAGGTCTAATCCATTTTAAGAAACACAGGGCCCATCCAAATTCAAAAAGACTGGGCAGGACTCCCACAACCTTTCTACGTCTGCAATTAAACTTTCATCAGGCTCTGCATGGTTCACAAAGCCGAGCAACTCGACACTACAGCACTGGTGTTTCCTTAATTGGCGTTAATTAAATAACCCCATTCCTTAATGTACAGTTCATACTCCATCTGCAGTAGATCACCTATCAAGGAACACTTTGAAAAGATGTTTTCTCAATCCTATAAAACTATCACACTATGGACATGCCACAGAAGGAGTTTCACAGATTTTTAGTACGCATTCACGTGCTTGTCAAACACACGGGACAATGAAATAAGATGAAGAAACTCTTATTAAAACTTCCCTATTAAGGAAAAGAAGAACTGGATATTTTAATAAAGGAACAAACACATCCAAAATTCCCTACTTTTCAGGGAAGGTGAGGATCCGATTCCTTGTATCCTCCTCAGGCTGATCGTCCAAGAGGTCGAGAGTCAAAACCACAGGATGTCGATGCAAAACCTGAATCTTTACAGGCAGAAACAAATAAATCAGAGGGGCGGTCAGGAAAGGAACGAAAAGGAGTTTGAAGAAATAGTGAGATGAAGAGAGCCCGTTAGAAACCGTGGTGATTGAAATCAAGGGCTGTCCTTAACCACCTTGACGCCTGGTGATGAGAGAGGAGAATTAGACATCATCCCATATATACACTCCAGCATATATATGACATCACTCTCTCTGAGCAACCGGACGACCCTTCCATAAGGAGGAGGGAGATTGATAATGAGCGCGTGCCGATTGGGCCCAGGCGTCGAGGCGATTTTACCAGCAGAAACTCAGTGACAGGCCTGGTGGAAAAATAAAGAAAGGAAAAAATCAAACTCCTTGTTCATCAAGTAAACATCTCCTTCCTACGATATGTTGGAGCAAGTCCTCAGGTGGAACAGCCAGTCAGGGGCTCCTTTCCTCTTTCCTGAGGACTTACAGTTTCATGCTGACAATACTGAAGGATATCGGCGTGTGTGACGCAGAATTACAGAGGTTACTCTTTGTGCATAAGACCCGATCTACAGTCGATGGTGGCGTTGGCAGCTTTCATGGTCGGGTCAGGAGCACCGAGTCCCCGGCAGAACCCGGAGCCTGACCGCGTAGCACCACACGGATCAGGTCCCCGGGACCTGACTGGCTACCCTCCCTGGGAGCTCATCCTGCCATGACGGCACACGATACACGAGCAGCACGAGGGCAACGGCCCCAACCGCCAGACCCAAATCCCACAAAGCCGGGGTGGGGTGTGGCTCACTCTAGCAAACGGCCACATGCTGGTCTAGGCTCCAGGAGAGGACTGGGACACCATCTACAGCCCAGAGCCCAGCAAGCCCCACAGATGTATGGCTTTCCGTGGTGGCCACACACATTACCTAGTCTTGTGGCTTTCAGTCCACCGTCAACCCCTCTCCCATGACAGCAGCATGAATTTACCTATATAACGTTTGCTCAATAAAACCTCAGAATCTCATAAACTGCTGTAGTTACATGTGAAACGTTTCTTTAGATTCTCACTAGAAATGAGAACTTTTACAGCTGCATTACCATGGAAACAATGGTCTCACTGTAAAACATAGCAGATGTCTTCTGACAATGACGGATCCTCAGCAGCAGAGACTGTATACTTGTCTATTTGGCATCTTACACTTTCCTAACATAACCTTTGGGTTTTGAGCTTCTCCACAGTGGAACATCCAGGTCCAAAAACGTACCACGCAGAATAAATTTTTTGCACTCTTTCCTTCACCTCAAAACAAGATGAATAATGGCGAGACTCACAAAAAATACAAGCCAAGTCACCATATAACTATTACACATTTTCCACACGTACGTGCCACTAACTTGAAAACTGAACACGGCTCCATATGACCCAGCCCTAACAGACACATTTTCCACATATAAATAATGTTTCACTTTAAAATACGAAGTACAATAAAAATGACTGATAGTGCCTTCTAATAATCTGACTTTTTTAAATCTACCAGTTTAAAATAAAATTGGTTCTGCCCATTAAATACACTGTAAAATTCTTCCTGAAGATGGCCGATTCTTCCTTGAGTGATACAATGCCAGTTACAGCTGTGCAGTATGTCCAGCATGCCTTTAAACTCAAAGCTCTCTAGCCTTTTGTTGTGGATGTTTGCAGAAACCCCACACCTCTGTGTTTCCAGCACAGGGGAAGGAAAGTCAGCAGTCTCCACTGCCAGGCGACGAACAGGGCAACTGATGTCCGAGGCAAAGAACGATGGTTTCCGATTCCTGCCACCACAGTGACAGCACAGCTCAGCAGAGGACCGTCTGCGGCAATGTGTCAGGAACACAAGGCACAGTAGCACAAAGTAACTGCTTCATGTCAGCCTGTGGGAGAAGTTTGAAATACGAGCCGGGGTCGGCTGAAACGTTATCCTTGCAGACCTTTTCAAACATTGTCAGGTGTGAAAGTGCATACTGGGTTCTGGTAAAAATAAATCTGCTCTTCACAAGGTTAGTGTAAAATAATTCCTTTAGAAAACAGAAAAGATAAAACTCTTAATACTGGTGCGAGATTTATTCATATTGTAGGTGTGACGAAAAACAAGCACAAAGGGGTTTAGTTGAAAACGTACTTTTTTGATTCTGGATTTCTCATTTGTCATCCCTACATTCATCATCTTTATACCGAAAAATGTTCTGAAGCACCTGGAGAGACAAAGCTATATGGCAGCAAAAACTGAACCCTGCACCTTGATCTGTGGCAAAGAAGTATTTTGTCACCTATTAAATGCAAGCTCAAAACTCAAGCTTGAAGATGAAACTTCTAGTGTGCTACTAGATATAGATAAAACAAATTCCTTTAGGGGTTAGGTTTTCATTCAGAGTTTCTCATGAATGGACACTGAAGAAATGCATCTTTTACCGAGTTACTCTTCTTAGGGTCTGAGGAATCAAACAGTAATGCAACAGGGCACAGAAATAATTTGTCTGCATGAACCCAGCTTATCTGTTGTACCTAATTTGTCTCCAGATCAGCTTTCTTATGAGGTCTCGCTTATCCCATGAGCTGCCCATCTCTCAATACCAGCACCCGGTCTGCACATTACGCCTGACACACACATATCAGATAGCCCTTTGGGACGTCACACCGAGTCAGCTACAAATAGAACCGAGGGCCAAAGAGTAGTATGACTTCAGAAGAAAATAATCTTTTACTAGATGGGAGAATTTATAATCGCACCTGCCCAGTTTAAATCAGGTTGACTAGCAGAATGGCTTGGGCTCCTTCAAAAGCAGAGGAAGAGGGAATAGGTCTTTCTCATCACAAGGGCTTAACCTCCATTTGCTCAGGTTCTGCAGAGCGGGATATATATATATACACACACATGGAGGGCAGTAGCTCCATGGGAACAATAAATGCCATTTACACCAATGTACTGTCTACTTTCAAATGGCTACTCAATTTCAACAACTCTGATCCTTAAGAGCAGCACAGCCATCCAGGACAACAGTCCATCACAGGAGAACAGGACAGGACCACACCCTGGACAGGACACCAGTCCATCACAGGACAACAGGACAGGACCACACCCCGGACAGCACAACACCAGCTTGAGATGGCATCATCTAAAGCAGTTTTTGCAAATCCTGACAGCCGTATTTGGCTTGTTGCCATTTTCCTACTGCTTGGTAAATATTTAAGCAGAGAAGAATATACAAGGTCTGGCATGAATGAATGCCTCTTAGTCAACTTGATGAGCAATAAAAACTGGCAAAGAGTTATGGGTAAAGAGCATAGTACATGCTCAAAAGCAAGAGAGGGAGATCCATATTTCGCTTGGTCACACATCAATACCCTAAATACACTGAAAAGAAATCTACAATCTTGAATTGTTGTCTATAGTACAGGCATAACCTATGTAAGAACCGTGCAAACTACTAATTGTTTAAAAAAAGTAGAAAACTGAGATAGGTACAAACCTGCTTAAGTGCAATGCCATGGTGTGAGCAGTGTTAAAGGCCACAGTGGCCTTTCAGCATGGAGAGCGCTCTGATCTGCGGTCACACGTCCCTGAAACTTCTGCTATTGTTCCAGCAGAGATGCTTCCTCCTCTTCCTCCTCCTCCTCCTCCTCTCTCTCTCACCCACACGGCAGTAAAGGAACAAACCTCCTCAGCTCCACTGCACTTTTCTTCCCATTACAGAACATCTTTACTGTTTAATTACACCCAGCATTCCAGCATAACCACTGCGCCGCCAAGAAAAATTAAGGAAGGGAAAACCGAGTCAACAAATGCCGCCGCAGACCTGTGCAAACCCACCAAAGCCGTGCTTACTGAAAACGCCACCCGTGCTCACAGCCACACCTCAGACACCTCATTTTCAACAGAACGCTGGCTTTCCAACTGGGCAAGCATTATCGTGCTGGAAATCAGGAGGTTTTTCTTTTTTTTAGAGCCAGGATCAGCATCGCATCTCCCCCACCTCGCTCCCACAGATGCCGATGGGGACAGACGGGGGAGCTGTACGCCCCCTTCCAACTCGCCCCAGGAAAAGCCCCACGTCAGCCTGCTGCTCCCAGATCTTCCGCAATTCCCCGACACAAACATATCCAAACCACACAGCTTTCCTCAAAAGGAAGCTTTTACTCGGAATAACCAGAATGGTCTATTTTATCTACTGCTGCACGCTCTTACAAAAACTCACTTAACCAGATGCAGTAAAAGTGGTGAAACCCACCATTTCATTTCCTCACAAAGCCCTTGACAGAGTCTGAACTGCGACAAACCTCCACTTGTGAATCATGCCAAGAACAATGAGCAGTACGAGCCAAATAATTTTTTAAAGACTTAAAATTCATAAAAATAGAATCACAAAACTACAAGGTAGAACCATTTTTTTCCAAGCAGACCCAAGGTCTCGGGAGAACAACACATCCAGCCGCGCAAAACTACCTGTTAACCTTGAAGAACAAGTCAAACATAGGAAAACCACAAATATCTTTCATAAAATGGTAACAGAATCCCAGTTATAACTCTTCAAAAGACTTGAAATTAATTACATTTTCTGTGAATGGCCTTTGAGACTTTATTGTAGAAGACACAAAGGATGCACTGTGCTTTATGTGCCCTAAAGCTAGGATTAACCTTCAGGAACACTGTACAGCCAAAAGCCAGTATCTTTTCCCGTGGAGTACCTCTCACTGTCCAGACGAAACACCCTGCCTCTTTCCAGACACCTCTGATGCTATCTGTTGTAGAATGGAAACGTTTAGTAACACTGTTGCATTTAAAATAAACAAGTTTTCAAACACCACTTCCAGCAGCACCCTGTTAGTATACAGTAAAAATATACACTGACAACAACCCAAAGTGGACAGTACAGACACCCCAAACTATTATTAAATTGAAAAGGTTTTGATTTAAAAGTTAAAATTTACAGTGATCCGAGGTCTTAAAAGCTCACCAAATACCATTTCAAAAGACACTGCAGGCGGTCTCCGACTGCGACTGTGCTCACCATTGTAAGAGCTTCTGCTGGTCCACAGATGTGAAACAAAACATTTACTGTATACACACGCAGGCCAATCAAATACAGGAGGAAGACCCTGGTTAAGATCTTTAACCGAAAAGACCTGCGTACTTGATCATATTGTGACAACTTAAGGTTAATAAGAATCAAAAGCTCAAACTCTGAGAATCGCGGGGCGTGAGTACATGATAATAATTACATTATTATAGCACTTTTCATCCCAAAAGGCTTTACATACTGTATCAGAGGGGAGCTCCTACCTGAAGTGTTTCACACACCTGGGTAACACCACACAAATCACCTGGGGACGTGAGATAGAACTTTACAAACTTGTTTAAGAGGAAGCTTTAAAAAATGTTCAGAGTGAATTTATGTTGGGCACCAGAGTTAACACCACCTACTCTAGGCCCCGGGATCTTGAACGATTGAGGCAATCCCATCTGAATGACGGGTGTCGAGATGTATTTAGCGTCCACCACGCCGCTCTGCATTCTTTTCGCGGGATGTACAATCTACACCTTCGTCCACAAGATTCATGCAGGGTCATGAGACAGCAGCTCCTCGGATAACGTTTGCAACACTTGCTCTTCACAGAGCATCAAAGAAGTCTGAAACAGTCAAAGTACATGAAATGGAACAGGCAACAGTCAAAGCTTTCACAAGTATCCTCATACTGAATTCAGCTTAAACTCAAACATAAGCATTCCAACAGTTCAGGTGGATAGATGGCCATGATCACACTAATCTCTCCGTCTGTGTTCTCAAAGACGGTTTTCCGAACTCATACATCAGAAAGACCACCAAAATTAAAATTCTAGGATTAAAAAGCTAGGACCACACCTTCCCTATTCTCTTAACAACAACTTTTCTTCTAAATTC